GTTTAGTCGTAAACTTCTTATTTTTGCAGAATTGTGCCTACCGAGCCTTGATTCTCGGAAGAAGTATTCCAGGGGAAGGATGGGAGTTCGGTTGTTTAAAAATAGTTTAATATAGTGTTAACAACTTATATAATTTATTGATAAATTGTCAATGACATAAATAATTCAGTAATAATTTCATTTCGTTGAAAATAAAAAATATTGAGTTTAAGTCTCATGACATGTAGATGAAGTAGGATAAGGGATGAAAAAAAATTACTTTTTATTGTGCAATCAATATAAAAAAAATTATTGATAAATTTTTTAGTGAAAACAAAATATTTGAATTTGAGTTATATGATAGGAGGAAAAAATGAGTTAGAAAATGTTCTTATTCTGCAATTTAATGTATATATAAAAAAAATTTAGTCTACTAAACATTGCATGCAAAATTTTCTGCCTTTCCCCTTGCCGAACAAGCCCTTAACAAAGAAAAGTACGAAGTTATAAGGGTTGAAAAGATAAACTTGTTAATTTGAAAACACTGGCACTGATTATTAACATTCTTTAGTTTCTAAAACTCCCTTTTTTTAACTTAGACAATTTATTATAGCTAAGGAGGAGGGGAAGGGGAAGGAGATACGAAGAAGGGGTTGGTGGTGCTCGAATATAGTTTGTTGGGTGAATTTCACATGAAGTTAGTGGCTAAATCATTATGCTTGTAGTGTGAAATTTTTTAGTTTTTAAAACTCTGAATAGCAATAAAAACACAACTAAGAAATTGTGAATTTTAATTTATTTTCCTTTCTTTTTCCCCTAAAATTTTGATTTCCTTTATGTTTCTCACAAAAAAAAAAAAAAAAGTCTTTAACTTGTGCTATTGCTATTGAACTTTCCTTTTGATTTCAGTTGAGAGTTTTGACATAATTTTCAGTAGTTAGATAAGTATGCTCATCTGAATAAGCTACCTCTGTCCCACAAGTTAATCCAATTTTCAAAATTTTGAATCTCTTTAGATTAAATTACTACATTTTGTTACAAGGAGATTGCCATCTGCAAGTGTACCAAGCCACAGACAAATATTAAACAAATGAAGCTGTCCACCTGAAACTTGTTTTACCAATTGTTTAAGACTAAACTTTTAAGGCCCGGAAATTGTGTAAGTTATCACATCCATTCATGCTTTTCCTAGGTCAACTTCACATACTGACTCCAAAAGAAAGAAATAAAATTGCCATCCTCAACTGCTGAAACTGACAAAGCAACCATATGAACCGATAATTCTCAAAGAATGTAACTAAACCTCCCTTAATTTCCACCTATCCTTGAGAAGAGTTTTTAACTTCTCAAAAAAAGTGGTAAGCAATTTAAATTACACAATTTAAATCATCAGATGAGGGTGAGTTCTCTGATATTTGGAATTGTTTTTTTATTCAATAATTTATATTTTACAATCTGAATAGTAAAGTAAAAAAAATACTTTAACTTTTTATAATCCATTTAATAGAGGTTATTTTTTTATCTAATGATTCTTATTTTATAATTTAAATTACAAAATAATAAACTCTTAACTTTTTGTGATCCAAAGAAGAACGGGAGTTTGAGGCACATATAACAGAGCAAACTTAATAAATTACTAATGAAGTTTTAGTTTTGTGATTAAAAGACAAACTGAGACTTTGGTACATATCGTGTTTGAATTCTCTTGTACTAAAAAATGAGTGTGTAATCTTAGAGAAAATTGAGAGAAAAATTAAGGAACCAGAAACTGTTTCATTGAGTAAGAAAACATCATAAATATATTTATATATGTACAAGAGTAGAGAAGTCTCTTTGTTGGTTTAGTACTCTGCTATGTTCCTTCATTTTGGGCTGTGTCTTCACTGTTTTAATGGCAATGAAGGTGTCTGTGATTCCACTAGTATTGACCATAGAACATGGACGTCTTCACATTGGCAGGATTTCACATCCTCATACAAAATGTATATCCCCCTTCCTGAAAAATTGACAAGCACTGAACTTCAGTTTGAGTATAAACAAAGAAACAAAGGACCTCAGAAAATGAAACTGGGTTTAATTAGAATAATTATGATGGCAATCAAGAACAATTAATTAGAATTGAGAGCATAAAATAAATGAAGCAGCAGCTGTGTCAAGGGTGTTATAACATCAAGAGGGGAAGGCAAAAGGATGATTGTGATTGATATAGGCAATGGAATTTGAAACAAAACCGAAGAAGAAGAACATGTAGCATGGAGAATAGGGGAAAATGATGAAAATGTAGTTAAAGATAGGATGGAGGAGAAGGGAACACACTCTTCTTCTGATGCGCCGAGTGCATACGAAACCAGAGCTTCTTCAATGGGGAGAAGAGGGACTGCATCCACCCCATTTGGAGAAGTGGCTGTGGCTCATGAAGGTGAGGAGTGGGAGGGAAAAAATAAGACACAGGGTAAGAGAAGAAAACTGAAGGGGTTTGCTTAGACAAAGGGTGAAGTTTATGTCATACTATATTTAATTTTTGAATACAAGGACATTTTACATTCACTTGCAGGTCAATCATGCATATCACATTTTGCTCTTTGGTGCTGTGTCTTTGTCAAACCCTTTTTCCCTTGTAGAAGAAGAAGCCACACCCACCAATCACCTGTGATTTTCACACTTCCACAGAAAACCTTTGCCATTTCTTTAATCCTTTTTGTTCCCACTGATTTCCCTTGTTCATCAAGCCAAATTTCTACTGTCTTCATTGCAATATTTCAGTATTGTTAGAGAGTAGTATTGTCCCGCAGGTGTTTGTTGTGTCCCTCTGGTCCTCTTGTGTTTGAAGTAAAGCTAATCTAGAAGGGTTTGCATTACTTTACTTTCCCATGAGACACATGTTCTCTAGGGTGTCTTAGAAGTGTCACAGTGGCATTAGCTTGCTGACCCAGAAATTGGGTTCATCATTGGAACACACGGAATCTTTGACTCTTCTCAGCATATTCAATGATTACTGATTTCTTTGGATATAATTCCTTCTGAAATTGGTCTAAATCCCCTAATCAGGATCTCTTTCAATCATTACAGCATTTCCAAACTTGATTCAAACATCAAATCACAAGATCAAAAATCTTCAATATCATCTTAAACAAAGAGAAATAAAATGCCGATAATTTTTATATATATATAATCATATAAGTAGATAGATAATATTTTAAATTTGAATAAAGTGAAAAGAGTTAATAATTAAATGAGATATAAAGTTAAAAAAAATTATGCACAAAAGTTATTATTTAATCATTTTTTTTGAAATAATAATTCATCATCGGAATTAAAAGGAATAAATGTCAAAAAAAAAAAGAGTAGAAAGATTACAAAAATTACAAACTAGTAGTCCTAATTATACAGAAATTTTGTTTGTCCAAGAGTTAAATAAATCCTTAGAGATGGACGGAGATCAGTACACTAATTAGTACTAATGAACTTATTTAAAACTTTGATTTCTATGATTAAGAAGTTCTCTTACTTTGCTTAAACTAGAAGTGAGGATTAGAAATTAGACAGGACACCTCATTGAACACATTTCAATTTTTCGACATTTTCTCGAAAATTAGGTAATTATTAAATCATTTTCGAACAAAAAGATGACAGAACATTCTATTGTATTAATGTAAACATCATGTGTTTCTGATGCCACTATTGTTATTTTTATTTTATTTTATTATTTTTCCTAAACTTTTTTACTTGTATTTGCTTTATTTATAGAATGGTGTCTATTTTAAAATTTAAATTATATTAAATTATAAAATAAGAACCCATAAATAGAGAAACAGACCTCAATATTATGGGTCTTTTTCAATTTAAAAATAACTATTTTGTAATTTAATACCATTTTCGAACTATAAAATAATTTTTTAAATTTACAGAATTACAACCATCTTCTTGCGGCCCAAAGAAAAGAAAGGAAAATAAAAACCATCTTCTTAAGGGCAGGCAGGCAGGCAACTGGGCTACAGGGTCCGAAAGGTTAGTGGGCAAGGGGATCAACGAGGGTATTTGTTGGGCTTATGATTGTAAAGGCTAAAGCCCATGAAAGGACAAATTTAAAAGTGGGCTATTAAGTTAAGATGGACTGAATTGTTGGGCTTATGATGTTAAAATTTGCTGGTCTGCAACGCTCCCAATGTAGTAAGAATGTTGGTGTCAAATCAACTGGCATGAATTATGATGATATCATGATTTCAAATGTCTCAAAAAAGCCAAAGGGATAAAAAGTAGGATTATTTTAGCACCACTTTTACTTGTATTACCTTCTCATTGGTTAATATGAGCTAGCATCAATATCCTTCTTTATGCTTTACTACTTTAATCTTGATTTATTTGTTTTAAAGCACCTTTATGCACAAGTAAGTACTTATGAAGCTAACTTTTAATCTGAGACAAATATAAAAAACAATAATCATTAATTTAAGATAAATTTTAAATAGAAGAATGTTTATCATTTTAAAACAAAAAGGGAATAGTAATCCTCTTTTACTCTTGGTAAATAAACAAGTGTGCTTAAGCTATTGCAAAGGTTAGACCTTTAACATTGGAGTCAAGAGTTTTAAATTTAGTAGCTAGATTTAAATTCAAGTTCTATTAGTGAGTTAGTACTATGAGGTGTGGTATAAAAGTTTGATGTTAGCAGGTTTGAACTAATCCCATGAATAAGAACAAAAACTATCTCTCGTAATTCCACCCAAAAGAGAAAAAGAATGAGAATTATCTTGAGAAAATGAGATTAACAAACTCATTTCATTTTCAATGTTCTAATGTATATAAATGGAGAAATAATTCATTTACACATAAGTTTTATATTTTATAGTTATATTAAATTTTGATGATTTCATCTTTTTACTTTTAATAATTTAGATTTATTATAATTTTTTAATAAAAATAATTATCTTTAATAAATATTAATAAATCATAATTATTAAAAATAAAAAATAAATAATTACAATTTTATATAAATATTATATATAAATAAATATCTACTAAAATAAATATCTACTTGAACAAATAACGAAATTAGTGTTTGTTCACTTTACTTTTAAAAACATTAAGAGAAAAAGTGATAAAAAAATCTTAATTTATACTTTAAAAATATGATATTTTATTTTTTAAAAAATTTAAAAAAATTAAGAGAAAAAATGATAAAAAAAGTCTTAATTCATACTTTAAACATATGATATTTTATTTTTTTAATAAATATTTATTAAAAATAATATAATTTTAAAATAATATTTTTTAAAATTTTTCTAAAGTGGCAAGTAGAAACTAGTAGAAAGTAGAAAAGTAGTTTCCCATTCATCACGTTTTGCCCACGAAACTTTTACTGAGTGGAGGGGGCCAGCCACAAAGACACAACAGGTGAGAAATGATGAGCTGTGGTCAATAAAATTGCCCACAACATGGGTTTCCAACACAATCATTATAAAGCTATTCCCACTGAATTGGTCTTTTTAACGGTCCCCAAAAGTTTAAAGTTCAATGCACGTACTACATATTTCCCAACTACCAACTTAGCAACTCATCTTTGTTGTTAATTTAAAAAAAGAAAAAGAAAATCATCTCTGCTCTTTGCACTGTTAATAGATCACTTTATGGAAGCTGGCGGCGGTTATATGTTGAAAATATGTAATTTAACAATATTTAAATTTTATTATAATTAAATGGCTCTTTATATTTTTAATTATTTAAATAGTTTAATAATTATTTTTTTAATAAAAATAAAAGATTTTAAATTTGAATATTATAATATGAATGCGGTAAATTAAGAAATGAGAAAAAATTATTTTTTATTATACGATCTAAGATTTAAAAAATATTACTCTTTGAATTATAATTGATGGTTGATGTTTTGACATTTTAAATTGGTAATAGTACTTATTTATTTTACTGTCTAAAAATTATGAGAAAAATTATTTTAAAATCATGTTCTTTTAATAAATTATTACTGAAAATGACTAAAATACTCTATTTTTAAAACTTGAAGGAGAGTGTTTCTTATTTTTTTTTCTTTAGTGTTTTATTAAAATTACGTAATTTTAGAATAGTTTTTCTTTTAATCTTTATGAAGTAAGATGAATAAATACCAATTTCTTTTAAATTTTGTTATTTATAATTTGAATATTCTGATTCATCTAATTTGAACAACTATTAATAGTTGTTAGGAACCAATTAAGACAAATATATACCTCCTAAATCAAAATTGTATTTTTTAGTAAAAGGGTAATAACTATAGAGAGGATCTCTGAGGGCAGTAAATTTGTCCAAGGTCAAGTCACCAAAACAGACAAAAGATGGTATATTCTAACAACATCAAGTGCCCTTTTTTATGTAGAAGATGAAGAGGAAGGCATTACATACTTTGAATTTAAAAAGTTCATGATTAAACCATGCATGATATAAACGTTGTGTAGGAAAAAGCAGCATTGACCCCCCCCAACATTTTATTTTATTTTATGATGAAGTCAAGTGTTTTTTTTTTTTATTATTATTATTGGAGAATTTAAAATCAATCAAGTACTTAAAGAGAATTCGTGCATATTTCGTTAAAATTTTGTTAATCACAAACTGTTCTCTCTTATTTAAGTTTTTCATAAATTATGTACAAGTACTCATTTTTCAAAATATGTAGATAAATGCAATTTTAATTTGATTTTGATAATATATTACCAATAAAAAAACAATTTAATGTTCTAGACAAATTAAAACATTAGCCATCGAATCAAGACCGCTCACCTATGCCATCAGAGGACTCCATAATTTGATAGTTGGTGTTTTACAATTTGATGCAATTTATATTGTAAAATAATTTTTTTTTGTTAATAGAAATAAGCCTTGGAAATTTTTTTAATTAACTCCATAAAGTTAGTGAAATTGTTGATTTTAAAACTATAAAAAAATGATTATGGTTAAGGTAGGTGTGGTGGGTTCATTGGATGTGAGGATAGAGGGTTTGTGGTGTTTCAAAATTTGAAATCAAAATCCCTATTCTCACACACCCACAAAGGAAAAAAAAAGGGTAGGTAGGTGAGGAAAAGGGGAGCAAGCAAACAACTTTAGATGACTTGGGCTATATGACATCTAGTTATACTTACTACTATAATAAAAAATCATAATAAAAATTATTGTGTAAATTAAATAATAATAATCATTAAATAAGAAATGAGTTGCTTAATATTGAGGCACTTTCCCATACAATTAGGCAAAACCATATGTTAAACTCCTAAATTAACTCCAAATTTACTATTGAGTCCCAAATTTTAATTGATGCATATAAGTTCTTGAACTTCACAATTTAAGCAATTTAGCCTTTATTTTTATTGTAGTTAAAGAAATTAAGAGTTATATTGGTCAAATCATAAAATTTTGATGTTTAAATGTATCAATTAAAGTTTAGAGGTTCAATAACAAATTTGAGTTAATTTAGAGGCTTAATATATGATTTTGCTGGTCAATTATCCTTAGCAAAGGCTCAAATCATAATCCTTAAGAGTGATTAGCCAACCTGACACTTCCTCACCATTTCTCAGAACAAATTGTCCTTTATTTTTATTTTTTTAAACTTTATTTCATAGTATAGTAAATAAAATAAAATACTACTTATGTAAGTAAAAAAAAGAGAATCTATACATTTGGATGTGGACAAACAAAACTGATCTTTTCACTACACACCAATCCTCTGTGTTATTAACCTATTTAATTAAGCACGATAAAGCTTACACTATAACTTTGGAAACCCAACTTAACAGCTCAAACTACGCTTTTCTTCTCTAATCACCATAATTAATCTTAATTTTTGCCAATCCTTGTATTTTTTTAATTCATACGAGTAGTACTTTCCTAGTTAAGACGAGTACTTACTTTTTCCAGGGCCCGTCTCAAGGCAATAGTTATGCCATAAAAAAA